CTGCGTTCGGGAGCTTCTCTGACCACGGTGTCTCGGGGTACATTGTGAGGAGAAGTATCGAGCGGGAGCAGTTGTCGTTGCAGCTGGGCCTCCACGGGCCCACATGTACACTAGCGCTCGCGCGGGAGCTTCGTTTTCAGAGAAAATGTAGCTGGCGTAGAAGCGAGAGCGCGCGGAACCATTTCCATAGATCAACAAAATTAATTCTCAAGAAGTGAGTTTTTAACAACAACAACAACAACAACAACAACAACAACAACAACAACAACAACAACAACAACAACAGCAGAAGCAGCAGCAGCAGCAGCAGCAGCAGCTGCAACTGCAACTGCAACAGCAACAGCAACAGCAACAGCAACAGCAACAGCAACAGCAACAGCAACAGCAAGGAAGGAGGAAGGAATGGAGGAGGGAAGGAAGGAAGGAAGGAGGGAAGAAAGGGAGGAAGCAGGGGTGGGGAGACAAGGAAAGAAGGGAAGGAGGTGGCTTAGCCCCTAAAACAAGGGAACGAAGGGAGAAGGGAAGAGATAAGGGGGAGTGAGAAGGATGGAGCACGAAAGAGGTTTGCCTGAGGAGGGTTAGGAGCAGGAGTACATTCGGCAGAACCAAAATGGGCGGGTCGGGCGCGCGGGCCCGAACGGCCAGGTCGGACGGGCGGGCCCAGCCGGCCGGGTCGAGCGTGCGGTTCGCTGAAGCGTCAGTCCAACATGAACGGCGATGAAATCCAAAGCGAAAGCGTGATTCCTGAGGCTTGGAGGCACGGCGACGCAATAAATTTCGAGGAAATACCACACGAGAGCGCGATGTCCGCATAAAATCTGGAGAAGTCCCGCGCGAGAGCGCGAATCTGAAGTACACTGTAAGGAAATATCAGGCGGAAGTCGCTGATATATAGTTTGAGCACGACGTGGCTCTGCTAAGTAAACAGGGTGCCAGCCCCATGAAGAACACTGTCATTATAAACACGAGGTGAATCGAAGGGAGGGGATCGACCATCATTACCCGCCAGTCGAAAGAAGTGGGTTGAAATATCAGAAAGAGCATGTTCTACCGCTGCTGGCGGAAAACCGGGGGGAGGTCACTACCGGTTCGAACCCCTCCCCCCCCCCCCTCCCGAAAACTGGGGGGGGTCACTACCGGTTCGAACCCCCCCCCCTACCCCCAGTTCATCATGAAAAGAGGGGGGGGGTCACTACCGGTTCAAACCCCCCCCCCCTCGAAAACCGGGGGGGTCACTGCCGGTTCGAACACCCCCCCCCCCCTCGGAAACCGAGTGGGGGTGCGGACAGTGGTGGGGACGGTGGTGGTGGGGACAGTGGTGAGGGGACAGCGGGACAGTGGTGAGGACAGTGGGACAGTGGTGGGGACGGTGGTGGTGGGGACGGTGGTGAGGACAATGGTGGGAACAGTGGGGACAGTGGACAGTGGTGGGGACGGTGGTGGTGGGGACAGTGGTGTGGGGACAGTGGGAATGAGGTGGAAACAGTGGGACAGTAGAGGGTACAGTGGTGGTGGGGACAGAGGTGAAGGCGGTGGCGAGGACGGCGGTCGGACAATGGGACAGAGGTACAGTGGGAACAGTGGTGGGGACAGTGGGGACAGTGGTGGGAACAGTGGGACAGCTCAGTGGGACAGCGGAGGAGTCAGTGGGACAGTGGGGACAGTGGGGATAGTCGGGCAGTGGTTGGGGCCGTGGATGAAGTGGGGAGAGTGGAACTGTGGTGGGAACAGTGGCGGGGAAAGTGGGGACAGTGCGACAGTGGTGGGGGCACTGGTGGGGACAGTAGGGACGGTGGTGGAACCAGCGGGGACAGTGGTGGTGAGGACAGTGGTGCTGGGAACAACAGTGGGGGATGTGATGCGGACGGTGGTAGGGACCGGGAGTCGTTTGCTGGCGGTGAGTGGGGGGGGGGGGAGGGGTTCGAACCGGTAGTGACCCCCCCTCCGGTTTTCGAGGGGGGGGGTTCGAACCGGTAGTGACCCCCCCGGTTTTCGAGGGGGGGGGGGGGAGGGGTTTTCCGGGGGAGGGGGGGGGGGGAGCACCCCGGGTTCTGGAGGAAGAGGGGGGCCATTTTCCACAGTAAAGCGGCGGTGGATCACGCTCTCTCAAATATCAAATAGGAAGCGTTTGAGATAGATTAGGCTTCCGCCCGTCCCGTGAAGAGGAGGGAAGAGGGACAACCTCTCGACTCTTGAAGTAGGAAGGCGCCCTGAGTAAATTGGGATCCGAGGGCTCCAAAAATCCCTGCTTTCAACGACCGACGGGTAGTCTTTAGCAATGAAAACTCAAAACGCAAAACAAAAATAGTCGGATGTCTGGGAGGATCGCGAAGGTGGGTTGGCGAATCAGCCCATGCAGCTGGTTTTCCCGGCGCCTCCCAGCGCCAGGAGGCGCCCAACATAGAAAAGAAACGAACCGACGGCGGGCCGAAACCAGGTGCACGCAGCAGCCGATGCCGTGAGTACGGGGGCCCCGAAGTCCTGACCCTTTCCTCAAGGCCGGCTTTTCATCCCAGCGAGGGCCCCCAGAGGCCGAGAAGGGCGAAAAGCTTCCGCATTGAGCCCTTCAACACGATGGAGGCCTGGGTTCTAGAAGACAAGACAAAAAGGCATAAACAGAAACTGTCGGAGCTCCGCGCGGACTTCTTGGACCGGTACTGGACCCCCCTCTACTCCCTGCGCCGCCGGAAGCGCCGCTGGGGGCGCCCAGCGCAGATCCGAGAAACCCGCACGAAGCTCCGCAAGCCTAGTCCATGCAATTTGTTCTTCTTCGAGGTTCGCCCCGACCCCGAATGCCCCGACCGCTTCTCGGGGGGGAGGTTGCCGCCCCGGGACCAGTTTCGATGTCCCGGGGCCCGATCACAGATCCCGCATCGAGGAAAAACGCTCGGATGGAAAGAGCGCGTCGACGGAGATCTGGGGCCTGGGCTCGCCCGGTACGGCTTCGGGCTGCGCGCAGACGGGCCCCCCGGGTGGCCCAGGCTGGCCTCAACAGGCCCCCCGAGCAGTCTGGAGATGGTCTCAATCGGGGATGGACAGAGCCCCCTTTGGTAAAACGTGGCTTAGTGACAACGACCTCGGGCCCAAACCTGGCGGGCGCAAGCCTGAAAAATGACGGCCGCGGCGCCCTCTCAAGAACCGAAAACGGACAATTCACTAATCGGCGTGTCAGGGTGGGGGTTCTGTCCACCCCCGAATCAATCCCCTGGCGCCGCCTCTGGGGGCGCCCCTGCAGCGCTCCGCGCCTCAGGGTTTTGAGGTGCTGGGTGGACTGCTCGGGAGGCCTGTTGAGGCCAGCGGGGGATGCTTCGAGTAGGGGATCGACTACAGGATTGATTTACCCCAAAATTGATGTCCCCGTCGAACCGACGAAAACTACAACACGTTGCCCTGTAGACCTTCGGAGCAGTCTACATGTCGTTCATTTCTAATCCTGCTTATTTCTAATTGTGCTCGTTTCAAACTGTTCCTGGCCCCCCAGTGGCCAGGAAGAGGCCCAGGATAGAACAATCAGAAATGAAAGGATCCTGGCCCCGCCAAAACATCAAAGAACTCTCGAAGAATTAGACATGAGAAATGTGTCGCATTTCGCGCAGATTCGACGGAAAATCAATTTTGGGAATTAATCTCAGGTCAGGCATGTCCCCCTACAGGCTGATTTTGGACGACAAACAAAAAATACTCAAAAGTACCCCCCAAATGCTCAAAAAGGGCAGAGAATCGTCCCCAGGCTTTTTTTTACTACTTTTGTACAGACGGACGTGCCCGACTTAAGATTCATCAATTCTGTAGTCGACTCCCTACTCGAGGGCTCGGGGAGCCGGTCGAGGCCAGCCGGGGGGGGCCGCCCGGGATGCCCGCCCGCGCGCAGCCCGAGAAGCCTTGCCGGGCGAGCCCAGGCCCCATCCGGGCGTCCTCCTCTCTATTTCTCCTCGAGTTCTCTTCGATTTCCTCGATCTCCTCGATTTCTCCTCGAGGTCCTCGATTTCCTCGATTTCTCCTCGACTTCCTCGATGTCTCCTCGTCTGTTCCATCCGGGCGTTTGTTCCTCGATGTCGGCCTCTGGGACCCTCGCTGTCGGGCCCCGAACCCATTGGAGCTGGAACCGGGGCGGAAACCTGCCTCCCGGGAAGGGGTCGGGACACCTGCACGACGAAAAAAGTCTGGCCTTACGCGAGGAGACGTAGTGTCCCCGCGGCCTACCCGGGGCGCCACGCATGGCACAACGCGTGGAGAAGACGACGCTCACGCGCGAGCTTACGCGGGAAGCTTACGTGCGCATGCCCGCGCAGTCGCACCCGATTTCTGCGTCGCCCATCTGGGGTCGGGACGAACCTCGAAGAGAAAGCCTTTGCACAAACATCTTGGAAGCGGCCAGAGGGCCTGAACGGGTTGGGACACCAGAAAGTCGGTCAGGAGGAGGGGATGAAGCCAATTCTGGCCAAAAGCCGTCCCTGGACCCCTCCCGGGGTCCCTCTGGCGCAGTTCTTACGGCCCAAGGGGGCTGAAAACGGCGAAACGCTCTCCCGAACCCATAACCTTGAGCCAGCCCCCGCCCCCAGTCCTGTTCGCCGCAACCAGTGCTGGGCCACCTCAGACTCCCAGTCGACTCCAACAACAAACCTCTATGTACGTTCGGAGCTCGCCCCGCCCTATCTTGGCGGCGCGCAATGAGGGGGTGGGAGGACGGGGGGACGTTTCTCGGAATGAAGCTGCCTCTCAGAAGGCACTGGCCTTACATCTGCAGACAAGGGCCCCGCCTTCTGAGAAGCAAGGGTGCTTCTAAGAAGCCTTGTTGCCCCCTCCCCCCACCTCCCACCTCGATAACAAACGCAAGTTTTCCTGCGACGCGGCGGCGCCCCGGGACCCCAAAATATCAAACTTTGCGCCGAAATTGGCGACCGCAAACACCACAAACATCTGACCGTGGATCAGCACTATCAACTGGCGTTTCATGTCGAGGAAGGTTGCATCCCCCCCTCCGCGCGTGGCCGACGATCCTCCGCGCAGTCCAGCTCTCCCTCGCCCGCCTCCGCGCGGTGGCCCGCCTCGCCCGCGGCGGCGGCCACCGCCCCGCTGCCCCGGGCCCGCTCCGAGGGGTGCAGGGCGGCCGGCTCGCCCGCGGCCGGCGCGCGGGAGTCGCAGATCTCGCACTGCGGGCAGCCCCTGGCGTTCTTGGTTCGGGGTGCAACGCTTGGGAGGTGAACACCACAGGGATCGCCCTAAACGGTGTTTTTCGTTTTCGTTTTGTTTTCGTGTTCCCTCGTTGAGTATTCACTACTGATATTCCACTACTGATGCTCCACTACTGAAGCTCCACTGCTGATGCCCCACTACTGCTGATCTACAATTGAAGCTCTACTACTGAGGTTCCACCACTGGGGTTCTACTACCGAGGCTCTACTAATGAGGCTCCAGTACTGAAGCTCCGCTACTGAGGCTCCACTACTGAGGTTCTCCGACTGAGGGTCTACTACTAAGGATCCCCTACTGAAGCGCCCCTACAAAGTTGACTATTGAGGTTCCGCCACTGCGGCTTTACTGCTGAAGCTCTACTATTCCGGCGCCACTACTGAACCTCTACTAGTGCGGCTCTACTACCTATACGACCACCCTGCGGGTGATAAGGAGGTCTGGGGGGGGAGGGTCCCAGCAATGGGCAACAGTTGTGATTGTTGTTGTGACGATGCCAATGGAGAGTGTTGCGTTGCCGCTCGCTCTTGGGAGCGTCGGTGTCGAATTGTTTACATCACCCTTCCTTCTTTGGCGCCTTGGTACCATTCGTCCCTCCCCCTGGGAAACTGCCCAACCAGCCCAACGGCAGCCAACGGCGGCATGTGGTCACAGAATACTGGAGCGCTGGCAAAGGCTGGCGCAGCCCGTGCCCCCTCTTGCACTATCGATCGCACTATCGATCTCACTCAATCGATCTCATTCGATCAATCTCACTATCGATATCAAAACCGATATCATCATCGATGTCTCTCGGCCAGTCTCACTGTCTGTCTCACCATCGATATCACAATCGATATCACTATCGATATCACTATCGGTTTCCCTAACGACCTCCCTGTCGATCTCATTCAATCGGTCTCACTGTCGATATCACCGTCGATCCCACACACGATCCCACCATGCCGCTCGACACACATGCCGCTCGACACACACGCCGCTCTCTCCTTCTCTCCGACCATGCCAGTCGGCACGAAGACTCTTTGCGCAAAATCGGGAGCACGGCCGGCCCGCTCACTCATCATCATCATCAACATCAACAGAATCATCCCGATCGATCACCACCATCATCATCATCATCATCATCATCAACAACACGGGTCGTTATCATCATCAACAACAACATCAACATCATCATCAACATCATCATCATCACCATCACAATCACCATCATCGTCATCACCATCATCATCTTCAGCACCATCATCATCACCATCATTAGCATCACCATCATCATCATCCTCTACATCATCATCATCATCATCATCATCATCATCATCATCATCATCATCATCCCCATCATCATCATCAGCATCATCACCATCATGATCGGGACACCGACGGGACTCGGGCGGGACACCCGCGGGACACCGCGGGCCCCCAAACGCCCGGACGGCAATCATTTGGTCCGGCCGCGCCTCAGCCACACGGGACCCCATCGGGACACCGGGCGGGACACCGCGGGCCCCCAGACGCCCGGACGTCAATCATTTGGTCCGGCCGCGCCTCAGCCACAGGAGTCTTTCTCTCGCCCGCCCACGCAGCTTCGCCTCGCCCGCACGGCACGCACGAACACGAAACCGAAATCGATTTCCTGGTAGGGGGGCTCTCCGTTCCACTTCGATCTCACCCCCCAACCTCCGACTAAGGCTCTACTACTGAATCTCTACTAGGGAGGCTCTAGTACGGAGGCTGGACTACTGACGTGCCACTACTGAGGTTCTACTACCGAGGCTCTACTATGCGGTTTTACTGATGACGTTCTACTAGGGACGCTCTACTACTGAGGTTCTCAGACTGACGCTCTATCAGTGACGCTCTCCGACTGAAGCTCGCTTAATTAAGCTCTGTCACGGATGCTTCACGGCTGGGGCTTCACTACTGAGGCTCAGCTACTGAAGTGAGGTTCCACTACTGAAGCTCCGCTTCTGAGGCTCTACTACTGAAGCACTACTACGGAGGCTCTACTACTGAGGCTCCACTAGTGAAGTTCTGCTAGTGATACTGTACTACTGAGGATCTACTACTGAGGCTCTACGACAGCAGGTCGACTTCTGAGGCTCTACCACTGAGGAGATACCACTGAGGCTATACTACACAGTCTTTACGCCTGAGGCTCTACTACTAAGACTCTACTGCTGAATCTCCACGAGGGAGGCTCTACTCTACTACTGACGCTTTACTACTCACGTTCCACTACTGAGGCTCTACTACTGAGGCTGTACTACGCGGCTTTACTGCTGAAGCTCTACTAGGGAGGCTCTACTACTGAGGTTCCCAGACTGACGGTCTTTTGCTGGCGCTCTCCGATTGGAGCTCTCCTGGTGAGGCTCTATCACGGATGTTTTTCGACTGAGGCTTCACTACTGGGGCTCCGATACTAAAGTTCTACAACTCATGCTCCACTACTGAAGCTCCGCTTATAACGCTCTACTACTGAAGCTCTACTACGGAGGTTCTACTACTGAGGCCCCACTCGTAAAGTTCTACGAGTGAGCCTTTACTACTGAAGCTCTACTAGTTAAGCTCTACGACAGAGGCTCTACTCCTGAAGCTCTACGACTGAAGCTCTACTACTAAGGCTCTACTACGGAGGCTCTACTACAGAAGCTCTACGACTGAGGCTCTACGATTGAGGCTCGTCTAGGAGGCCCTACTAGGGAGGCTCTAGTCTACTACTGAGGCTCTACTACTGAAGTTCCACTACGGAGGCTCTACTACTGAAGCTCGACTACTGAGGCTCTACGACTGAGGCTCTGCGACCGAAGCTGTACTACTGAGGCTCTACTACTGAGGCTCTACGATGGAGGCTCGACCAGGGAGGCTCTAACACTGAGGCTATACGACTGAAGTTCTACGAGGTAGGCTCTACGAGGGAGGGTCTACTAGGGTGGTTCCACGAGGGAGGCTCTATAGCCCTACAAGGGAGGCTGCACTAGGGAGGCTCTATTCGGGAGACGTTTGTTTCAGGGAGGCTGTAGCACTGCGGCTCTACGAGCGAAGCTCTACAAATAAGGCTTCACTGGGGATGGGAGGTTATACTAGGGAGACTATACCGAGGCTCTTCCAGGGAGGCCCAGTTGGGGACACTATAATACTGAGGTTCTACTTCGCGGCTGTACTACTGATGCTCTACTAGAGAAGCTCTACTACGGAGGCACCCCTTCTGAGGCTCTACGCACGAGGCTCCACTAGTGAGATTATAGCCAGGAGGCTCTACTCGGATATACCAAGGAGGCGACGCTGTACTAGGGAGGCCCTCCTACTGAAACTCTACGAGGGAGTCTCAACTACTGAGGTTCTACTAGGGAGGCTCCAGTGGTGAGGCTTCATTTCCGAAGCTGTATTAGTGAGGCTCTACTGAGGCTCTACTGCTGAGGCGATAATATTGAAACTGTATTTCTGAGATTCTACAACTGTGACTTTCCTACTGAGGTTCTAATACTGAGACTCTCCGACTGAGACTCTACTACCGATGTTATACAACTGAGTTTCTTTTACCAAGGTTATGTCACTGACACTCGATTGCTGAAACGATGCGACTGAGATTCTACATCTGGAATATACGACTGGGGCTCTACTACTGAGGCTCTACCAAGAAGACTCTACTACTGAGGCTCTAATAGGGAAGCTTGATTATTGAGGTTCGACCACTGGAGCTCGACTACTGAAGCCCTACTGAAGGCCCACTTCGGAGGCTTTACTACTGAGGCTTTACAGCTGATGCCACAGTACATATATTCTACTACTGAAACTCTACTACCACTGAGACTCTGGCACTGAGGTTCTACTCGGGAGGCTGCTACTACTGAAGCTCCACTACTGAGGCTCGACGACTAAGGCGCTCAGGCTTTACTACTGAGGGTTTACTACTGGGGCTCTATTACTGAAGACTCACTACTGGGGCTCTACTAGGGAAGGCTCGTCTAAGTCTAGGAAGGCTGTGCAACTGAGGCCCCACCACTGGGGCTCTACTAAGGAAGCTCGACAACTGAGGCGCTACCAATGGGGCTATACTACTGAGGCTCTGCTGATGGGGGGGGTTCTAGGAAGGCTCTGCTACTGAGGCTCTACTGGGGAAGCTTTCCTAGGGAGGGTATACAAGGGGAGGCTTTACTGGGGAGGGTATATTGGGGAGTTTTGTCTCGTCCCTTTTCCAAGATGTATCCTCCCCCTTGCTCGGGGGATAGATACGCCTCTCCTCCTACCCCCGCCCGTGGGTCTGGACAAGGAGCGGGGTTCGAAAGGTTAGAAAATGTGAGGAGGCCCAATATGGGTCCCAGAGGGCACTAAACAAGCCAAGGTGAGCCGCTGTTGTTGTAAACCGGGAAGTACGGTTTGGTGGCACCAAGCTTTCCCTTGTAACAAACAGGGTACAAACCCCGGGAGGAGCACTTCAATTGAAAGATGCAACGGTTACCGGAGAGAGGGCATCAACAATTATTACCCAGAAATGAAATTTCAACAACTGCAACAACAACAACAACAACAGCAACAATATTACCTGATGGCGTGCCATTCAACACGTACATCCCAAACCCTCGATACCCGCCATCTACGTCTTTGATCTCACCCCCCGCGGGGGCATACCGTCTGTACCTGCCGCGCGTACTGGGCGCAGCTCCTCATACAGGGGAAGGAAGGAAGGAAAGAAGAGACAAGGAGGAGGGAGAAGGATGAATCACGAGAGAGATTTGCAGGAGGGCGGTTAGGAGCAGGAGTACAAGCGGCACAACCAGACGGGCGGGTCGGGCGGGCGGACCCTAACAGGCAGGTCGGGCGGGCGGGCCCAGACGGCCAAGTCGAGCGGGCGGGTCGCTCAAGCGTCAATCCAACTTGAGTCGCAAGGAAGTTTCGAGTGATAGCGCAGATGCCAACGCGAGAGCGCGATTCCTCCATACATTATGAAGAAGTCCCGCGCGAGAGTGCAACTCAATAGGCTGTGAGGAAGTATTCTCAAGCCAGAGCCGTTCTTGTTGTAGTTCGGGTTCCAGGGGCCACGTTGGTGACTCCAGACTTCCCCACATAAAGAACAGGATGCGAGCCCCGAGAGGGACACCTCAAATGGAAAAATACAATGGTCATCGGGTGGGGGGGTCAACAATCACTGATCTTCAGGAATGAACATTCAACTTGCGTCGAGGGGCTGGGATGAAGGGATGTGAGCCCCGACCAAGGGGCCATTAAGCTGGATCTGGCCCGATGAAGCTAGATTGAGCCCAGGATTCAGCCGGATGAAGCGGGATTCACCAGGATAGCACGCCAGATCCGGCCCGTTCTCGACTACGGACATGACTGCGCCGATGCTGGATGTGAACCCAGACCTATCCAGGCGTGCGCTCTGACCAGAATTCCAAGTATAATCCAGCAGTGGCGACGAGGGCTCTCGCCGACGATCAGCGGCATCGGTATTGACTTCCTCTGTTGGAGGCCTGGGAATGGGCACTAACACCAACCCACGGGCCTGCCTCAACCGGGGGAAGATGATCTTAGAACTCGGTGCTGGTGGCAGTAGTTCGGCCACTGCCGCCATCGCCGAGATCGGGAGCACCTTCCCTCGGTGGAGGCACGCCGCCGATACTGGTGTTTTGAGCAGGGACCGACTGTCCTGGTATTCCTGTAGGCATACCACGACATGTTCTTAGCACTCAAGATGTTCTTAGAACAAAAGCAATGCTCTTAGAACCAAGCCCGATATGATAAAACACGACAGTCCCAGCCAGAAGTGCTCTAAAAACATTTCGCGCAAACCGCCACATTTCGCGCAAACCGCTAGAACGCTTCGCCACTGTTTCAGGGGAACGAAAAGTGACACAAACATAAAAACTCGTAGGTCCGCGCGGATTTCTTGGATCCGCGCTGAACCCCCCCCTGGCGCGTGGAGTGCGCCAGGGGCGGTGCCGGAAGCGCCGCCAGGGGGCCCCAGCGCTTGACGAGGCCTCCCACTCTGAGAACGTTCGCCTCCCAGGCGCTGCGCCCCAGGCTTGGCGGAGCAGCGCGGGCAGGCCCACGCGTCGTCCGGGCCCGGCGGCGGCTCGAAGCGCGGCGCCCCCTCGGCCTCGGCTTCGGTCGGTCGTGCCCTCCTGCAGGCCGCTTTTGGACCCCCCCCAAAAAAAAACTTAAAAGTCGCACAATACAATCGACCAGTAGAATAAGGATGCGCGGCAAGGATGCAAGAGCCTTGGACGCCCATTTCGAAGCTTTTCGAGCGGGGCGCGGCCAGCGAAAGCGGCGAAGGATGGACCGAGGAGGCAAGGATTCAAGGGTACCCTTGGGAAGGTTGCCCATCCTTACGATTATGGTTTCGGTCGCGTCCTCCTGCAGGCGGATTTTGGACACAAAAAAGTCAAACGATACCACCAAACGAATCAAAACATGCTCAAAGGATCGTCTCCAGACTATGTTTTGACCATTTCTGAGCATTCCTCCTGTAGAGAGACAGGCCCGACTTAGGCCTCGGCCTCGGCTCCGCCGCCACCGCCGCCTCCCGGCTCGAGCCCGCGAGGCGCGAGGCAGACCTTGGCGGCGAGAAGGAACGGGTCTTGCGCGAGAGGGTCTAGCGTTAGGTCGGGCATATCCTCCTACAGGCGGGCTTTGGAAAGATAACTGAAGATAGTCAAACAATCTTCAAAAATATTCAAAAATAGTCCAAGGATCGTCCCCTGACTATTTTTGAACATTCCTCCTGTAGAGGGACACGCCCGACTTCAGTCTAGCGATCTCGCGCCGCGGCTAACGCGGGCCGCCAGCGTGGCACACCGCGTGGAGAAGCGCGCGCAAAGACGTGGACCAGCCCACTTCGCCTGAGGCCTCCTCATCACTCCCGCCCGAGGCCAGTATCTCCAAACAGCGATGTCTCCCCACAGGGCGCTCACGCGGCGGCCTAACGCGGAAGTTCATGCGCGAATGTCCGCGCAGGCGAACTCGTTTTCTTCCGTCGCTCGCCTGGCAGCTGCCCTCCCGCTCCGGGTTCTGGAAGGTGCAGAGCTGGCAAGGCCAGCCGTCCTGGCAGAGGAGCGGAGTAGCCAGGGAGGAAAAGCAGCCAACTTCTCTCGGTGTGGAAGATCACGACCAACGGTTTTTGATAGTTTTCTGCGTCTCGGGGCCCTTACTGGACCCTGGGACTGTCAAAAAACCACTTGGGATGAAAAACCCGTCTCGGGGAACTGATCGAGACATTCGGAGGTCCACGTTGCGAAAAATCGCACCGTCAGGGGTGCGTGTCATGGCCGACCTACCTAGAACACCATTACACCAGCAAAGACCCCGAATAGCAGCAAAGGTGACCTGTGGGACCTGTGGGGCAGTGGGAACTGTGAGGCTTGTGCGATCAGTGGGACCTGTTGAACCTGTAAGACTTTTTGTAGCCTGTGGGACGTGTGGGACATGAGGGAGACCTGTGGGGCAAGCGGGAACTGTGAACATGTGGGACCTGCGGGATCTGCGGGACTTGTGGGACCTGTGCGACCTGGGGGACCTCTGTGGTCTGTGGGGCCTGTGAGACATGCGACACCTGTGACGTGTAAAGCCTGCAAGACATGTGGGACCTGTGGCACTGGCGGGGCGTGTGGAACCTGTGGGACTTGTGAGACCATTGTGGGACCTGTGAGACATGCGACACCTGTGTGACCTGGGGGACCTGCGGGACATGCCGGACCTGTGGGACCTGTGGGGCATGCGAGACATGAGACACTTGCGGCACCTGTGAGACCTGTCAGGCCTGTGGGACCCGTGGGACGACCTGCGACACCTGTGTGCCCCGTGGGCCCTGTGGGACCTACGAGACCTGCGAGACCTGCAGGGCCTGCGAGACCCGTGGGATCCAGAAAAATGGCCCACGCTGGGGCGGGAGAGCCTCTCTGAACGACGGGAACACATCGCCGATCCGAGAACGAGACCCACGCTGCAGCGAGAGCACTGCTTTTTGAAACACTGACAACAAGATGACTGCAAACAAACACCGACAACAAAAGTTCGGCCCAAGCCCATGCGTAATCAACAGGACGCGGATGGGGGCGGGATATCTTCTGGAAAACTTCTGGGGAGAGAGGAGAGTCGTATTCGTATCAAGCTAGGCGCGCTCGTGTCATATCCGACATCTGTATCCCTCCATTCGATCCCTCCCCATCGCGCGGGCTGTTCTCTATCCGCGGACGCGTGTCCTAGCCGACCTGGAACTCCAACAGAAAGAACCCATCGTGTCATGCGCAATCGCAGTAGAGGAACTGCGTAAGTAGGAGGTCCTACCCCTGCCACCCATTCCACCCCGTTGCGCTGACGTGTTCTCTTTCGGCCGACGGGTGTCATAGCGGGCCTGAAGTACCCGAAACGACCCAAAGGACAGCTGTGCATATTGGGGGAGGTCGCGGATAAGCAGGAGGAAGAGCAGCAGAAAGTTCAGGAGGAGGAGGAGGAGGAGGAGGAAGAAGCAGGAGGACGAGGAGGCCGAAGAGGAGCTGAAGCGAGAGGAGCGGGAGGAGCGGGAGGAGCAGAGTACCAGGGGGAAGGCGGGGGAAGGGAAAGGGATGGGGGCAACAGCGACGAGGAGGCACGCGGATCAAGAAATGAGGATGGTAAAGGAGGAGGAGGAGGAGGAGGAGGAGGAGGAGGAGGAAGAGGCGAGGGAGGAGGAGGGGGAGGAGGAGGAGGAGGGGGGAAGAGGAGAGGGAGGAGGAGGAGGAGGAGGAGGAGGAGGAGGAGGAAGAGTTTTTCAGCAGTTTCATTTCTCACGTGGTGAGGTAGGAGGAGGAGGAGGAGGAGGAGGAGGAGGAGGAGGAGGAGGACGAGGACGAGGACGAGGACGAGGACGAGGACGAGGAGGATGAAAAGAGGAGAGGGAGGGGAGGTGGTGAAGGGACGCAGACAAGGGCAAGGGCTGCCGTGCTCAATGAAAAAATTAAAAGCCCCTCTACCCCATAGAGCCAAGCATAAAAGAAGAGAAGCCGGCCGCCTGCGGGGGGCTGAAGGCACTGGCAAAGCTTAGGGCGCCTTGCCAGGGCGCCACGTCGCGGGTGATCTGCGGCGCGCTTGGCCTCCCGTCTCAGCCTGGCCTCCCTCCGGCTGGCAGCAATCCGCGCAAGCTGCTCCACAGAGAGGCTGGGATGCGGAGGCGAGGGAAGGGGAGGTGAGGGCCCAGGAAATCCTCGATCTCGTGTTCTTCGCCCAGGGCCAGCGAACCGGGAAGGGGTGCCCTCAGGAGCTGGGGTGGTTTCGCCCGCCGGAGTAGGTTCGCAAACAGTGGCAGGAGTCGGAGTCGGAGTAAGATCCGAGGTCCTGAACCTGCGATGCACGGGGTCACACCTCACTCCTTGTCTTCGCAAACGCAAATTCAAATGCTTCCATGACTTCGTCACCCACCTCTTTGACGTGAGTCCCTGCGTCAAGTCAGGGTCACTTTCCTCGGCTATCACATCACAGTCGTTTATGTCGGCATACGGAGCTTTATAGATTCCGAGATAGCGCCTGCGATGCGTCTACACATTGGGTGGGTCGGTTTTATTCCGACTTGTGTTGCGCTCCCCCTTGAAGGTCTTGCCTTTGAGGACCATGTGGGAACTCTTGGGGTGACAACACTTTCCGTTGTTGCCGGCGCTGAATAGGCGAACAGCAAAATCTGGCATTATTAAACCAATGAGCCGTGTGGGAGCCTTGTCTATCTCACTCGGGTCCAAATGGTGGTGCGCACACTGGTCCAAGTCCGCTGTGAAACAAACCACACTGGAGCGTATTGTCTCTAGGGGCTCCCAGTCGAAGCTGCTTCGGGCCTACGGGCGCCAGTGGGGAGGGAGAGGATGCTCCATCCATGCGCTTGTGCCTGCCACCATGTGGCAGGCTAATAAATGTAGCATGCTCCACAAGAGCTGGTTGCCAACGTCAAGCTGCGTCGACTGCCGCTGGGCGGGGAGAAGGGAGGAGGGAGAAGAGAGGAGGGAGGAGGAGAAATAGGCAGATTAGCACGAGAAACAGCACAGGCAACATGAGGAGCCGGAGCAGGAGGCGCAAGAGGAGCAGCCGAGGGCAGCAGACCGGAAGGGTGGCGACAACGAACTGGAAGGAATCGGATACAGAAATGTGGCCCGCGCTGGGGCACGGCGATGGCGGGACACCTCCAGGACGTGGTCGGGGGGACGAGAAAAGTAGTATTCGTATCGAGCAAGTGTAGAGGGGGAAGACAAGGACAAGCTAGGCGAGGGTTACTCTCCTTCCGCCGACGGGTGTCATAGCGGACTGGGGGAAGGTGGGGGGCAAAAACGACCCCATCGTGAAGTGCGCGATCAGAAAGGGGTTTCCATGAAAATTCGAAGGGGAGGAGAAGGATCAGCAGCAGCATGCGGATAAGCAGGAGGACGGGCAGGAGGAACAGGAGGAGGAGGACGAGGAGGAGGAGGAGCAGGAGGAAGGAGGAATGAGGAAAGAGAAAGGAGGAGGACAAGGAAGAGAAACAGCAGCAGCATGAGGAGCAGGAGCAGGAGGAGAGGCAGGAGCAGGAGGAGCAGCCGAGAGCAACAAAGAGGAACGGTGGCGACAACGAACAGGAAGGGGATCCAGAAACATGGCCCGCGCTGTGGCGAGAGCGCCAACGACGCCAGCAAAGCAGCAATGCTAAAATGAGGCAAGGGCTGCAGCGGCAGCACAGTTTGGCGGACTTCGGAAACTCTGCACCCTAAAATGTTGTCATCTCTTGGGGGCGCATATACTACTTCTGCCGACTTCCGCCACCCTTCCGCCGGCTTCCGCCGGCGGAGGCACCCCCGTTTTACTTCAGCCGCCGTCCGCCGACCTTCCGCCTCCTTCCGCCGGGGAAGAGATGCCAGCTTCTTCGACCCTCGAAGGAGAGGCCTTTTCTGGACCCCCCCGCTTGAAAGACATGTAGAATACCCCAGGCTAAAAAGCAAGCATGCGGCCGGACCTAGACTTAGGTCGGGCGTCCCCCCACAGGCGAATTTTTGGGGAAAAATAGAAAATACTCAAGGATAACAATCAACAAATGCTAAACAAATCGTCTCCAGACGATTTTTTCCTTTTTTTTAACATTCCTCCTGTAGAGGGACGCGCGCGACTTAAACCTAGACACGAAGAACACGATTTTTTCTCAACGTCGAACCCCAAAGGTCTCGAAGTGGTCTCGACCCATTCCCGGGGACCGTTTTTTCATCCAGGGTCGCATTCTGCCGGCCCCGGGGCCTGGCGAGGGGCACCAGGGGCCGAAACTGGCGAAGAACCTCCCGTCGTCATTCTTTCATAAGGGCCACCCTTCCCGAACCCACCTCGAGCTTGCATTAGGTCGGGCATGTCCCCCTACAGGTGGATTTTGGACGAAAAATGAGGAAACAAAAACAAAAAAATCAAACATGAGACCGGAGAAAAACCCGAATCAAACTCTTTTTTAGGGCTGTAGAGCTATGGGGCTATAGGGCTATAGGGCGATGGGGCTATGGGGCTAAAGGGCTATGGGGCTATTGGGCGAAAGGGCGATGGGGCTATAGGTCTATAGGGCTATAGGGTCATAGGGATCTATAGGGCTATAGGGCCATAGGGCTATAGGGCTATAGGGCTAGAGGGCTAAAGGGCTAGAGGGCTATAGGGCTATGGGGCTCTGGGGCTATGGGGCCATAGGGCTATAGGGTCATAAGGCTATGAGTATATAGGGTTATGGGGCTATAGGGCTATAGGACCATACGGCTATAGGGCTATAGGGCTATAGGGCTATAGGGATATAGGGCTATAGGGCGATAGGCATATAGAGCTATGGGGCTATAGGACTATAGGGTTACAGGGCTATAGGGCTATAGAGCTATAGGGCTATAGGGCTATCGGGTTATAGGGCTATAGGGCTACAGGGCTATTGGGCTATTGGGCTACAGGGCTATAGGGCTATAGGGCTATGGGGCTATAGGGTTACAGGGCTATAGGGCTATAGGGCTATAGGGCTATAGGGATATAGGCATATAGAACTATGGGGTTATGCGGCTATCGGGCTATGGGGCTATGGGGCTATAGGGCTATAGGACTATAGGGCTATAGGGCTAGAAGGCACCCGGGCACCCGGGTACCCGGGCACCTGGGCACCCGGGCACCCAGGCGGGCCGCAGAAATCGGCGGCAAGCTCACCTAACCATATGAATCCGCAAAGACCCCTACAGAGGCAAGCTCTGCTTAGGGAAATATTCGACAAATCTTCACACATGGTCAAAATCGTCCCCTGACTGTTTTGCACTATTTTAAACTATTTTCGATTCCTCCCGTAAAGGGACACGCCCCACTGATGTCTTGCACCTCGGCCCGAACGCACGCGGCACCGATGCTTGAGCGCCGATGCGCGAAAAGCCTGCGGGAGAGGCGGCGCCCCGCTCGCACCAGCACCCAAGGAGCGCGGAGGCCAGCGCTCACACTGGGCACATGCAGAGAGGGGGGGAGGCGAGGGGGAGAGGCGAGGAGGAGAGGCGAGGGGGAGAGGCGAGGGGGAGAGGCGAGGAGGAGCGCGGAGGAGCGAGGAGGAGCGAGGAGGAGCGAGGAGGAGGAGGAGCAGGAGAGGGAGGAGCGAGCAGGAGCGAGCAGCCAGGAGCGAGGAGCGAGGAGCAGCGAGGGGCGAGCGAGGAGCAGCGAGGAGCGAGGAGAGGCCAGGGGTGGAGCGCCCCGGCGGGCTGGGCCGGCCTCCGGGGCCGCGGCTGGGGCGCCGCCCGCCGCCCGCAGGGCGCCGGCCTGCAGGTGCGGCGGCACCACCTCCGAGGGCAGCGCAGCCAAACGACCGACGCCCAGCCCCAGCCAGGACCGAACGACCTCCTCCTCATCCTCCTCCTCCTCCTCCTCCTACTCCTCCTCCTCCACATCACTTCTTCCTCATCCTCGCAGAAGGAGCAGGACGCCCAAGGCCGCATGCCCCAGCCCCAGGCAGGACCTCCACTCCCGATATGGAACCTTGCACGTCTGTTGTTCTGACCTAAAATTGTTAATCCTGAAGAATCGTCACCAAACAAAAAAATATCCCGGCAAAGCAACCTAACAGCGATGTGTATAAGCATATCTGGAAGCATTCCCCTTAAGATTCAGGTGAGAATCCAGTTGTAGAATTCTGCTGTTCTCGCAGTCGCAGTCGCATTCGCAATGACAGTCGCAGTGGCAACGGCCTTAGGATCCAATGGAATCATAAGGATTCCTAGGGATTCCTCAGGCATCCTTAGGCATCCTTAGAAATCCATAGGAATCCTTAAGAAACCTTAGGAATCCTTTGGAATCCTGATTCCTAGGGATCCCGAGGGATTCCAAAGGATTCCTGAGGAATCCTAAGGATTCCTAAGGAATCCTGAGGATGCTTAACTATGCCTACGGATGCCTAAGGATGCCTACGGATTCCTAAAAAAAATCTAGGGAGTCCTAAAGATTCCTATGAATTCCTACGGATGCCTCAGCCTGCCTCAGTTTCAGCCTCAGCCTCAGCCTGCCTCGGCTTGCCTCAGCCTCAGCCTCAGCCTGCCTCGGCCTCAGCCTGCCTCAGCCTCAGCCTCAGCCTGCCTCGGCCTCAGCCTGCGTCAGCCTCAGCCTCAGCCTGCCTCAGCCTCAGCCTCAGCCTCAGCCTCAGCCTCAGCCTGCCTCGGCTTGCCTCAGCCTCAGCCTCAGCCTGCCTCGGCCTCGGCCTCAGCCTGCCTCAGCCTCCCTCCTCCCCCCCCCCTTCCCCCCCCCCCATTCAGCCTCACCTTGTCTCAGCTTCGGCCTGCCTCGGCCTCATCCTCAGCCTCAGCCTCAGTCTCAGCCTCAGCCTGTCTCGGCCTGAGCCTGCCTCGGCCTCAGCCTCAGCCTGCCTCAGCCTCAGCCTGCCTCAGCCTCAGCCTCAGCCTGTCTCAGCCTCAGCCTGCCTCAGCATCAGCCTCAGCCTCAGCCTCAGCCTGCCTCGGCCTCAGCATCGGCCTCAGCCTCAGCCTGCCTCGGCCTCAGCCTCAGCCTCAGCCTACCTCAGCCTCAGCCTCAGCCTGCCTCAGCCTCAGCCTGCATCAGCCTCAGCCTCAGCCTCCTCAGCCTTGCCTCAGCCTCAGCCTCCTCAGCCTCAGCCTCAGCCTCAGCCTGCCTCAGCCTCAGCCTCAGCCTGCCTCAGTCTCAGCCTCTCAGCCTCAGCCTGCCTCAGCCTCAGCCTCAGCCTCAGCCTCAGCCTCAGGGCCCTCAGCCTCAGCCTGCCTCAGCCTCAGCCTCAGCCTGCCTCGGCCTCAGCCTGCGTCAGCCTCAGCCTCAGCCTGCCTCAGCCTCAGCCTGCCTCAGCCTCAGCCTGCCTCAGCCTCAGCCTGCCTCAGCCTCAGCCTCAGAATGCCTCGGCGTGCCTCAGCCTCAGCCTCAGCCTGCCTCGGCCTCAGCCTGCCTCGGCCTCAGCCTGCCTCAGCTCGGGCATTCAACATATGGCACAGGACTTGTGTTCTGGGAACACGAAGATCACGAAGTGGCCCGCAGATGGCTCCGGGCAATCAAAATATAGTACAGGAATCATGTACTGGGAACACGAAGAACACGAAGTGGCTTACAGTTGGCTCCGGGCATTCAAAATGTGGCCTGGGAATGGTGTTCTGGGAACACGAAGAACACGAAGTGGCCTACAGTTGGCTCCGGGCATTCAAAATGTGGCCTGGGAATGGTGCTTTGGGAACACGAAGAACACGAAGTGGCCTACACTTGGCTCCGGGCATTCAAAATGTGGCCTGGGAATGGTGTTCTGGGAGCACGAAGAACACGAAGTGGCCTACAGTTGGCTCCAGGTATTCAAAATGTGGCCTGGGAATGGTGTTCTGATGGCTCCGGGCAATCGAAATGTGGCTCCTGGCAATGAAAATAGGGAGTCCCCGGTTATCCCCGGCTTCTCCCGGATTCTGTCCAGACCCCCATGTGGAATCAGGATGCTCTCTTTTGACCCCACTAGAAGCCTATCAGTCTTCGCTGTTAGGTAATCCCACCAGCCCTTTGGGCGTGAGTGGTTTAGCGAGCTCTCTCTGTTCTCAACCCCCCTTCTTCCCCTTCGGGGAGGGGTTTACCCCTCCCCCATACCCCCTCCCCCTGGGCCTGGAGAGGGCGTTCCGCGGGTGGTCAGAGGGGTCGTTTTCGACTCCTGGGAGGGCTAAAAAACCACACCCCTCACGAGGATTCTGGCCCCGACGGGGGGAGGGAGAAAAAATGCTCTCCTCATCTGTGATCGATCCCCCGACAGATGGCCCCAAGATGCCTCCCAGACCCCTCACAGGGAGCCCCACGAGGCCCCAAGAGGCCTCCAAGAGGCCCCCAAGATGCTCCCAAGAGGCTCCCAAGAGGCCCCCAGAGGCTCCCCCGAGGCACCCACGACGCTCCTGGAAGGCCCTGGAGCTGCCAAGAGGCGCCCAAGACGCCCCAAACTTCCCCTTCGGGGAGGGGTTTACCCCTCCCCCTACCCCCTACCCCTGGACCTGGAGGGGGCGCCCCGCGGGTCGTTGGAGGGCTCTTTTCCGACCCCTGGGAGGGCTAAAATTCGACACCCCTCACGAGGATCGTGGCCCCGACGGGGGGGGGGAGAAAAAGTGCTCGTCCCATCTGTGATCGATCGCCCCAAAGATGGCCCCAACAGGCCCCCAAGACGCTCCAAGAGGCGCCCAAGAGGGCCCCCGGACGCTCCCAAGAGGCTCAAAAGCGAGCCCAAGAGGCCCCTCAACGACCTCCAAGAGGCCTCCAAACTGCCTTGGATACGACTACTTCTACTACTCCCCTCCCCCTACCCCCTCCCCCTGGGCCTGGAGAGGGCGTTCCGCGGGTCGTTGGAGGGGTCTTTTTCGACTCCTCGGAGGGCTAAAAAACGACACCCCTCACGAGGATTCTGGCCCCGACGGGGGGGGGAGAAACAAAAAAAAACATCTTTGATCGATCGCCCGAAAGTAGGCCCCAAGATACCTCCCAGACTCCTCCCAAAGAGCCCCAAGAGGCCCCAAGAGGCCTCCAAGAGGCCCCCAAAAGGCCCCCAAGAGGCTCCCAAGAGGCCCCAAGAGGCTCCCCCGAGGCACCCAAGACGCTCCTGGAAGCCCCTGGGGCCGCCGAGAGGCCCCTAAGACGCCCCAAACGGTCTCCAAGAGGCTCCCAAGAGGCCCGAAGAGGCTCCCCCAAGGCACCCAAGACGCTCCTAGAAGCCCCTGGGGCCGCCAAGAGGCCCCCAAGACGCCCCAAAGGCCTCCAAGAGGCTCCCAACTACTCCTACTACGAGGGGCCCGAACGACTTGCACCAGGACGAGGTGCCCGAACGCCTCACGCAACGAGGAGCCCGAACGACTCACACCAGGACGAGGGGCCCGAACGACTCACACCACGAAGAGCCCGAACGACTCACACCAGAAGGAGGGGCCCGAACGACTCACACCAGGACGAGGCGCCCGAACGACTCACACCACGAGGAGCCCGAACGACTCACACCACGACGAGGGCCCCGAACGACTCACACCACGAGGAGCCCGAACGAGTCACACCAGGAGGAGGGGCCCGAACGACTCACACCAGGACGAGGGGCCCGAACAACTCACACCACGAGAAGCCCGAACGACTCACACCAGGACGAAGAGCCCGAACGACTCACACCACGAAGAGCCCGAACGACTCACACCAGGAAGAAGGGCCCGAACGACTCACACCAGGACGAGAAACCCCAACGACTCAAACCACGAGGAGCGCTTTCTCTCCCTCCTCCTCCGCCTCGTCCTTCTCCCGCTCCCACCACAAGGAGGATGTACAAGGAGGCGGGAGGAAGGAGGAACAGGGGAGATATGCGGGGGCAGGCGGAAACACGCCTGAAAAACACGACTGTCGGCATGCTTCGCAAGAGTTGCTGTTTTGAGATGGGCTGGTGGGGATACGCGAAGCGTGAAGAATATCGTCATTAATCCTGAAGAATCGTCACCAAACAAAAAATATCCCGGCAAAGCAACCTAACAGTGATGTGTAGAAGCATATCTGGAAGCATTCCCCTTAAGATTCAGATGAGAATCCAGTTGTAGAATTCTGCTGTTCTCGCAGTCGTAGTCGCATTCGCGATGACAGTCGCAGTGGCAACGGCAGTCGCAGTCACAGCCTCAGCCTCAGCCTGCCTCAGCCTCAGCCTCAGCCTGCCTCAGCCTCAGCCTGCCTCAGCCTCAGCCTCAGCCTGCCTCAGCCTCAGCCTCAGCATCAGCCTCAGCCTCAGCCTCAGCCTCAGCCTCAGCCTGCCTCAGCCTCAGCCTCAGCAGCCTCAGCCTCAGCCTCAGCCTCAGCCTCAGCCTCAGCCTCAGCAGCCTCAGCCTCAGCCTCAGCCTCAGCCTCAGCCTCAGCCTCAGCCTCAGCCTCAGCCTTCAGCCTCAGCCTCAGTCTGCCTTCAGCCTCGGCCTCAGCCTCAGCCTGCCTCACCCTCAGCCTGCAGCCTGCAGCCTCAGCCTGCCTCAGCCTCAGCCTGCTCAGCCAGCCTCAGCCTGCCTCAGCCTCAGCCTCAGCCTGCTTCAGCCTCAGCCTCAGTCTGCCTTCAGCCTCGGCCTCAGCCTCAGCCTGCCTCAGCCTCAGCCTGCATCAGCCTCAGCCTCAGCCTCAGCCTGCCTCAGCATCAGCCTGCCTCAGCCTCAGCCTCAGCCTGCCTCAGCCTCAGCCTCAGCCTGCTTCAGCCTCAGCCTCAGTCTGCCTTCAGCCTCGGCCTCAGCCTCAGCCTGCCTCAGCCTCAGCCTGCATCAGCCTCAGCCTCAGCCTGCCTCAGCATCAGCCTGCCTCAGCCTCAGCCTCAGCCTGCCTCAGCCTCAGCCTCAGCCTGCTTCAGCCTCAGCCTCAGTCTGCCTTCAGCCTCGGCCTCAGCCTCAGCCTGCCTCAGCCTCAGCCTGCATCAGCCTCAGCCTCAGCCTCAGCCTGCCTCAGCATCAGCCTCAGCCTCAGCCTCAGCCTCAGCCTCAGCCTCAGCCTCAGCCTGCTTCAGCCTCAGCTCTCAGCCTCTCAGCCTTGCCTCAGCCTCCTGCCTCAGCCTCAGCCTCAGCCTCAGCCTCAGCCTGCCTCAGCCTCAGCCTCAGCCTGCCTCAGCCTCAGCCTGCCTCAGCCTCAGCCTCAGCCTGCTTCAGCCTCAGCCTCAGTCTGCCTTCAGCCTCGGCCTCAGCCTCAGCCTGCCTCAGCCTCAGCCTGCATCAGCCTCAGCCTCAGCCTCAGCCTGCCTCAGCATCAGCCTGCCTCAGCCTCAGCCTCAGCCTGCCTCAGCCTCAGCCTCAGCCTGCTTCAGCCTCAGCCTCAGTCTGCCTTCAGCCTCGGCCTCAGCCTCAGCCTGCCTCAGCCTCAGCCTGCATCAGCCTCAGCCTCAGCCTCAGCCTGCCTCAGCATCAGCCTGCCTCAGCCTCAGCCTCAGCCTGCCTCAGCCTCAGCCTCAGCCTGCTCAGCCTCAGCCTCAGTCTGCCTTCAGCCTCGGCCTCAGCCTCAGCCTCAGCCTCAGCCTGCATCAGCCTCAGCCTCAGCCTGCCTCAGCATTCAAAATGTGGCCCGGGAATGGAGTTCTGGGAACTCGAAGAACACGAAGTGGCCTACAGTTGGCTCCGGGCATTCAAAATCATGCCCAGGAATGGAGTTCTGGGAACTCGAAGACCACGAAGTGGCCTACAGTTGGCTCCTGGCATTTAAAGTCATGCCCAGGAATGGAGTTCTGGGAACTCGAAGACCACGAAGTGGCCTACACTTGGCTCCTGGCATTTAAAGTCATGCCCAGGAATGGAGTTCTGGGAACTCGAAGACCACGAAGTGGCCTACAGTTGGCTCCGGGCATTCATGCCCAGGAATGGAGTTCTGGGACCTCGAAGACCACGAAGTGTGTAACTGTTGGCTAAAAAAAGTCCCCGGCATCCTCCCCCGGATCCCGCCCAGACCCCCCTTGGGCGTCATGATGCTCTCTTTTGACCCTACTAGAAACCTATCAGTCTTCGCTGTTAGGTAACATCGTCAACAAAATCAAAAAAAAAAAAACGAGTTCATTTATAAGCGTCGGGGAGGGGGGGGGGAGCGTCACCCCCGCCGACAGCCCCACATCGACCCCCGTCGCGGGCAGCCACCGCGCGCCGAAGGCGCTCCGACCCCCGTCGCAGCGCGACGACGAGGCGAGGTTGACCCCCGTCGGGTGCGTTCCCCATGCGTCATAAGAAACCCAGAATAACCAAACGACCAGCCCCCAGCCCCAGCCAAGACCTCCACTCCCGATCTGGAACCTCGCACGTTTTTTGTATGACCTTCGGTTGTCAATCCTGAAGAATCGTCACCAACAAAAAACATTGTCACCAAAACAACTAAGCGTCGGGGGGACGTCACCCCCGCCGACAGCCCCACATCGACCCCCGTCGCGGGCAGCCACCGCGCGCCGAAGGCGTTCCGACCCCCGTCGCAGCGCGACGACGAGGCGAGGTTGATCCCCCGTCGGGGGTGTTCCCCTCCCCTCCCCCCTCACGCAGACTAAGAAACACAGAGTAACCAAACGACCAGCCCCCAGCCGCAGCCAAGACCTCCACTCCCGATATGGAACCTCGCACGTTTGTGTTTGTTCTAACCTTCGGCTGCTACGCCTGAAAAAGCGCCCCCAAAAAATAGAATCCAACCACCCTCAGACTGGGGTGCGGTTGGACAGGCTGGGCCCCTACCCTACCAACGCACTCCGCGGCCCCGCCGCCGCCCTCCGAGAAGGCCCGCCCCCTCTCGCTTCCCCCCTCGGCGCGCCGCCGAAGCGGGCCCTCTCGGAAGGCTCGGAAGGCCTCTGGCCTTCCGGAGAGAAAGCTTTCCCGAGCCGTCTCCGCCGCCCCGCCGCCCTCTGAGAAGGCCTACCCCCTCGATGACGACGACGATGACGATGACGAGGACGATGACGATGGCGACGACGACGACGACGACGACGACGACGACGACGACGACGACGACGACGACGGTGACGAGGACGACGACGATGGCGATGCCGATGGCAGTGACGGTGACGATGACGATGACGATGCCGACGGCGATGGCGATGGCGATAGCGATGACGATGGCGATGCCGGTGGCGATGGCGATGGCGATGACGATGGCGATGACGATGCCGATGTCGATGACGATGACGACGGCGATGACGATGACGATAGCGATGAAGATGGCGATGCCGATGACGATGACGATGGCGATGACGATGGCGATGCCAATGACGATGGCGATGACGATGGCGATGCCGATGACGATGGCGATGCCCATGACGATGGCGATGAAGATGGCGATGACGACGAAGATGACGATGACGATGACGATGACGATGGCGAGGACGATGGCGATGACGATGGCGATGACGATGGCGATGGCGATGGCGATGACGATGACGATGGCGATGACGATGGCGATGACGGCAAGCCTTCTCCGAAGTCCGCCGCCCTCTGAGAAGGCCTGCCCCATCTCGCTTCCCCCCTGGTCGGGCTGGGCGAAAGGGGGGGATAGCAAAGGGGGGGTTCAGAGAATCAGCTCACGTAGCTGATTTTCCCGGCGCCTCCCGGCGCCGGAGGCGCCCACGTATCGAGGAATGGGCCCCTCGGTGGGGCCGAAACCAGCTGCATGCAGCAGATTTCGTGACCCCCCCTTACCCTATCCCCCCCTCTTTCGCCTGGCCCGACCACGGTGCGCCGCCGAGCCTTGAAGAGATGCTGCGCGTCGGCGTACTGCACGTGGAGAGCGCCGTCCGCGAGCACCTCTCGGGCACGTGTTACGGTGAGGGCGTTGGATAAGGAACACCTGGATAAGGAATCCAGGGTCTGGAAGCCAGTGGAACTCCAATCGTGGATCGGCCGAGGATCTCACCGCCGCCCTCATGGGAGAAGGAACCCTCCAGGGTCTGCGGCCTCCTGGGCGCATTGCTTAGCCAACGCCCCCAACGTAGCCTTAGGTCGGGCACGTCCTCCTACAGGCGGATTTCGGAGGGAGCATTAAAATGTCGACAAAAATCAAAAACACGACTGAAAAATCGTCCCTGGACTGTTTCTGTACCATTCTTGAATATTCCTCCTGTAGAGGGACGCGCCCGACTTAATGTTAGCCGAGGGGGCAAGGAACTGGGGGCATGATCATTTTGCCATCCTTCCGCCCTGGGGCGAAGGCTCGTGGCAGGAGCAATGGCAGCGGCCAATGCGAGCTTCCAGGGCTCGCTGAGCCAGCTCGGCACAGCGCCAGAGCAGAGGGTGAATCACGCGCGGCCCCGAGGGAAAAACGCAGGGACCGACCACAACGATGTTTCAAACGAAATGTCGTTGACAACGAACAACGAAGCGAGGCCCAACGTTCAAAACGAACGTGTAAACGAAGCCGGTGCCAAACGAAAACGGACGACGAAGCGGGGCGTTCAAAACAACAGCGAACAACGAAACGAAACAACAACGAAAAACAAAACGAAAAAAACAACAAGGGCCCAAACCAGGCTAAACAGCGTTGTGGTCGGTCCTTGGAAGAAGGGGGCGACGACCCGCGCACCTGTCGTGCACCCTCTCGGGCCCGCGGCGGCAGTTTCAGGGGCCATTTCCAGACGAGCGCGCTCCACGACTCGCAGAGGAGCTGCTCGCAGATGGCCCAGATCCGCCAGGACGAACTCACGATACACTGCCTCGAGGCAGACGTGTGCTGCTTTCTGCGGACGCCTGCGAGAGCAGGCACTTTGCGAGTCGCGGAACGCGCTCGGTGAATTTGGGCGCCCTTCTGGGCCACGTTTAATGGGCTTGTTTTCCACCACCACCACCACCACCACCATAAGTTGGAGGAGGGAAGGAGGTGGAGGAGGAGGAGGAGGAGAGGAGGAGGAGGAGGAGGAGGAGGGGGACCCCCTCCCGCTCCTACTTACGGTGGTGGTGGTGGAGAACAAGCCCACCAACGTTCCTGCAATCCTCGGTCCCCCTGGCGTTGGTTGCCCCCCAGTCGGCGTCCGCGCAAGCCTCCCGCACGCGGGCGTGAAAACGGACACCCTTCGTGCACCTTCTGATTGGGCTCGCGGCGGCAGTGGAAGGGGCTACTTCGGTGACCCTTCAGGTCAGGTAAATACTCCAAACGAAAAACAAAAATGCTCAAAAATACTCGGAAAGTCGTCCCCAGACTATTTTTTGACTACTTTTGAACACTCCTCCTGTGGAGGGACAGGCCCGACTTGACCTTAGGGCCACTTTCCTGCCAGTCCTCGAGGGCCCCCACGCTTGTTGCCCCCGCGTTGGCGTCCACGCGAACCTCCCGCACGCGGGCGGGGACCCAGCGGTTCCCGGACTTCGAGAAGACCTCCACGGCCTGGCCCAGCAGGTACCTGGCAGGCCTGGGCTGGGTCGCTGAAGAGAGAGGAGGAGGAGGAGGAGGAGGAGGAGGAGGAGGAGGAGGAGGAGGAGGAGGAGGAGGAGGAGGAGGAGGAGGAGGAGGAGGAGGAGGAGGAGGAGGAGGAGGAGGAGGAGGAGGAGGAGGAGGAGGAGGAGTGGGAGGAGGAAGGGGGACTGCGTCGGCTCGAGCTGAACCCAAGGAAGGTCCGCTTCTGGTCGTAGCACAGCTCGCGCAACGGCCGACGGGAACGGATCACTGCGCCGACCTTGCAGACGTGCTGCAGCGGATTTTGTGTTCGGATTTCTGCCAGTGCAAGACCCCGACATGGCGAGTGAAAAACGAAGTGAATTCCGCGTGGATTCTTTTAGTCTTCATTCCTGGCCAAAAAAATCCGCACGAAATTCACCCCGAAATCCGGAACGAAATTCTCCAGGACACTCCGGGCCCATCCTATCGTTCTCCGAACGACATCCACTCTGCGATGCTGGCCCCATGAAACGGATCGGATCGCCAGCGAGTCATACCGAATCGGACCGAAGTCGGATCGTCGCGCCTGGCTCTGGCCGGCCCCGGCCGATGCCCGTGGACCGAACCAAATCGACTCGGAATTACGGCCCCAGCCAGCGAGTCGAATCGCATTCCCGCAGACTTCCGACGACACGACTGCTTCCATGCGCGGCCCCAGAAGTCCCGACCTCTTCCCCGGAGCCAGGCTTTCGCCCCAGATCCATGATTGATGGTCCTGGGCTTAGGTCGGGCACGTCCCCCGACAGGCGGATAATGAAAAATAGGTCGAACATATTCCAACGATACCCAAAAATAGTCAAAACATCGTCCCCAGATTATTTTTGAATATATTCAAACGATGCGCAAAAATTGTCAAAACATCGTCCCCAGACGATGTTTTGACTATTCGCCCCGTAGAGGGACGCGCCCGAGCGAACCCCGGGGCCCGACCACGGGCCCCGGGGGCCGAAACCGAGGAAGAGCGCCCAAACGAACAGGAAAAACGGACAGATCGTCGGAGGTCGGGGCCGAAGGAAGGGGGCCCGGGGGGCACACAAAGAAGTGGGCACAAATGACGGGACTCCCCGTAGGTTCCCATATTCTCTGGGCTGTTGTCTTCCCCCCCACTTCCCATGTTTTCCCACATTTTCCTGGGAGAGTCGACGATTCGTTGTGTCTGTGAGTTTTGTTCCTCTCCTGAAGATCGTCGGAGGTCGGGGTCGAAGCGGATCGAAGGCAGCCGTGCCTGCTGGGCGACGACGCCTCGGACCTCTGCCTCAGCAGGGCGGCGTGGAACTCGGGGCGGACGACCTTCTGCGACATGCCTGGAGGCAACCCAGATGCGGTCCGAGCAGGGGGGGTCGGAGGATCGCGCCGCATGGCCAATGCATCGCCGATGCGTCGGCGACGTCGGAGTGGAGAAAATCGAGCTCCACATCGAGCCGCATCGCATACGCATCGGCGATGCGGTGCGATCCTTCGACCCCATCCTCCCGGACCCCACTTGGGAGGCCTAGGGTGCCGTACTGCACGCGCACCGTGGCGTCCTCCAGGACGTCCAGGACGCGCGCGTCCACCCAGGCACCGACGCTCGGAGGGGGGGCCGCCGAGACAACAGCCTGCACCCCTTCGCGCCGTGAAAAAAAAACGCTGGACGGTCTCGGGCAGCTTGCGGCCTCCAGCGGTCCCCACCCGGCCACTGGGCCCAGGCACCATCAATGCCATCATCATCATCATCATCATCATCATCATCATCATCATCATCATCATCATCATCATCATCAGCATCAGCATCAGCATCAGCATCAGCATCATCATCATCAGCATCATCATCATCATCATCATCAGCAGCATCATCATCATCATCATCATCATCATCATCATCATCATGATAATAATCATCAGCATCATCATCAACATCACCACCACATTCATCATCATCATCATCAGCAGCATCAGCATCAGCATCATCATCATCATCATCAACATCATCATCATCAGCATCATCAACATCATCATCATCATTATCATCCTCATCATCATCACCATCATTATCAGCATCAGCATCAGCATCAACATCATCACCATCATCATCATCATCATCATCATCACCATCACCATCATCATGATCATCATCAGCATCAGTATCAGCATCAGCAGCATCCCCGGCAGCAGCATCCTCAGCCTCAGAGTCACCACCACGGCCACCACCACCACCACCATCATGATCATCAGCATCATCATCATAAGCATCATCATCATCAGCATCATCGTTATCATCACCATCATCATCATTATCATCATCATCATCCCCTGAAGCAGACAGTACACTTAAACAAAAAAACAAACATACAAAGACGCAAAGCAGATCGCACAACCCATAGCAATGCCCAGTAGTGCGTCTGAGGGGGGGGGGGCTAGACACTTGTTGCTGCAATAGTTGTTGGCGCAGACTCCGTTGTGCTTTCCCAGAAAAAGCATTGCATCAACACGTGTGTTTCTCTGTGTGTTGCGATTGTTGCTTCGCTCGTTGATCTCTTGGTGTATGTGTTTGCTTCTTCTGCTTGTTGAAAAGCTTCTTACATATAAAAGAAAATGACGCGTGCTTCTTTTTAGGAAACCCCTGCTATGGCAGCACTGTCATCGACATCATCATCATCATCATCATCATCATCATCATCATCATCATCATCATCATCATCATCACCATCATCATCATCAGCATCAGCATCAGCATCATCATCATCATCATCATCGTCATCATGATTATCAGCAGCAGCAGCATCATCAGCATCATCATCAGCATCATCATCGTCATCGTCATCGTCATCATCACCATCAACATTAGCGGCATCATCCCCAGCAGCAGCATCCTCATCCTCATCATCACCACCACGACCACCACCACCCTCACCACCACCACCATCATAAGCATCATCATCATCACCATAATCAGCATCATCAGGGACCGTCATAAAATCGACTCGGGACGAACAGCCGGTCCAGGAGAAGGAGTCCAGATCTCGAATGGTCCACGTTATGAACAGATCACGACGTCGGGGTCTGGGGGCCAGCAGAGAAGCGGGAAACACGCGAAAGCACATGGCGACCTCACGCCGCGGCTCACGCTGAAGCCAGCGTGGCACACGGTCGCGGAGAAGAGGGCACTCACGCGCGGCCCTGCGCGGAAGCTCACCGCGAATGTCCACGAAGTCGGCCCCGGTTTCTTCGGCCGCTCAGCTGCGACACCTACGGCTCTCCCGCCTGGCCCACATCCATTCGGCATGGGCCCCAAGATACCCCCTGAGAGCCGGGCGTTGCAGTTTGGCTCACACCGGGCGCTTCTGTCGGGTTCCGGGCCCCAGGACCATCACGCGTCGATCCGGCTCGACAAATGCTGCGGAAAGATGGGGTCTACGGCTCTGGTCGGGACTCTTCGCGATGTCGCCATTTTCTCACAAACTCGGAACGCAGGGCCTCCCGGGGTCCATCCTGACCCGTTTATCGAGGCGGATCCCGTCGTGACGACGAGAAGCTTCCAGGAGGCCGAGAGAAGACGAGAACGCCTGCTCAGATGCGGCGCAGCACGGAACCCGCAGCGTGTTGACACGGAGCTCAACACGCAGATTGGCGAAGCAGGCTTGGCGCGAGACGTTCGCCAAAACGCGAGCCAACACGAGCCGAGCCAACACGAAGCGCGTTCAACCCACACGCTTCGATCTGCCAGGGAGGGCCGCCGTGGTCCCGACTGGCCCTAGCTCGGGTCTTCGGCGGCCGTTCGGGACGATCGAGCACGCCCAGCGCGCTCTCGGCGAGGTCCAGCTGCTGGAGAGCGCCCCGAGGCTGCACGGCCGTCGAGAACATGCGAGAACGCCACGGAGAGCCGTCGTCGTCTCAACTGTGGAGTGGGGACTGACCGCCCTGGCACTCCCATAGGCCTATCACGGCATGCTCTGAGAACAAAAGAATGCTCCAATTACAAAAACACTGTTCTACGAACAGATAGCCCATGTGTTAAAGCAAGACGGTCTCAACCAGAAGTGTTCGGAGAACCTGATGTGCGAACCACGACGAAAAGGCTCCTCTAGAACATTCTCTGGGGGCCTACAGGCAGGTCGGGACACTTCGCCACTGCTGGATCGAGCACGCCCCGACCGCTCTCGGCGAAGAGCCGCTACTGGAGAGCGCCCCGAGGCTGCAAGACCGCCGGGCACCGACGGGAAACGCCAGGGACATGTGCATAGCTACACGGGAGCTCAGGTTTTTCAATCCGTCCTCGTGCACCACGCCCCGTCTGCCGAGCCCAGGGCCCCCCGAAGCAGCGGCACGGCCAAGCGCGGACATCAGCGCTCCCCCTGTGCCACCCGTTTGCTGTGACCCGGTCTAGGTGGCCAAACGTGGACCCTGCCCCCACCCCCCACGATTTCATATGGCCGGTGGGGGTTCACTCCACTCGGGACATCCCGAACGAAACGAACCCCCACCCCTCCCTAGAAATCGCGGGTGGTGGGGGCAGGGTTCAGGTGTGGCCATCGACCGCCCTGAAGAAAGCCGCCGTCGTCTCGGCCAGCCCTCCTCCGGGTATGGAGTTCGAGTAGACCTGCACCGCCTGCCCCGCGGAGAAGGAGGCCATGGCGGCCCGCGCCGCGGGGGCGTGCGCGCCTAGCCGTCCCTCCCCTCCCTCGCGGCCACGGCTGGTTGGCGGAGGAGAACCAAAAGGGTAGGCGGAGGAGGAGGCGGAGGAGGACGGGGACGGACAAGGAGGAGGAGGAGGAGGAAGAGGAGGGGGAGGACGGGGAGGAGAAGGAGGAGGAAAAGGAGGAGGAGGAGGAAAAGGAAAAGGAGGAGGAGGGGGAGCAGGAGGAGGAGGGGGAGGAGGAGGCGGCGGAAGAGGAGGAGGAGGATGGGGAGGAGGGAATGGAATGGAATGGAACGAAATGGAATGGAACGGCCCGAAGGGAAAGTACACAGCACCATAACTAAACGGGTTAAGGATTATTTGCCAGCAAAGGCCTCCTTGATACGAATCCGCTCGATTAGAGCAACCATCCGCTGCTCAAAAGAGGGAACCCTTGAGGCTGAGAAACTCCTGGACACCTCCGTAGAGTCAGGGAGCGAAAAGGAATCCGAGAGGGCCAAACGCTCAACCGCAGGGTTACGAGGGAGGACGACGCTACGACCGAGAAACGATTCAACCTTACAGTTCGGTGGCCCCGCCTGGGAGACGCGGTTTAGGACCTCCTGACCTTTCTTGGCGGGGTGTGTCCCAGGGCTCATACAATGCTTAACAAGCTTGCGGGCTCGACCCTGGGACCACCCTCCACATCTTAAGCAAACCCAGCACAACTTCTCATGGACCTGGTCCAAAATACGGCCAGAGGAACAATCCACGAGTCCAGCCGCGACGGCGAGGTGCCCGCTGGGGCTCTTGAGGAGCGGCCTGATATTCGATGGGGATCCCTTGACAACCATTAAGAGGGAGAGTGATACGATCATCTCCTCGTACAACCAAACAACTCCTGCATTGCAGGCCTGCTCGGCCTTCCGCCCAATCATTCCAATCTTGCCAAACATGGACTGCGTTCCTCTGCCAACGGGGCGCTGATTCGAACCAGGGGAGGACGGCCGCGGCCAGCTTGCAGAAATACCCCGCCCTCTGCTCAGCCACCCAGCTCCTGAAGGAAGGGTGGGTCTGGCGTGGGATGGGATCTGACTGCAATCTTGGCGTGGCGATCCACGATGCCATTGGCCACAGCAAACTCCTTCTCCACCTGCCCTAGAGAATCTGTTATATATTGAGACCTGTGCGCCTTTACATGGCGCACCTGAATAAGCGACGCTCCTTCCAGGGATTGCGCAAACTTCATGATTCCAGCAAGCTTGCTGCTGGCCATCAACTACTTGCACGGGCTCTGGTGTGCATGTCTTATCGCTGACATGCAATCTATACCTAGCGCAGCTGGTCTGTTTGCCACCCGCCCCCAGAATGCGACCGCCACGCGTTTAGACACGGCGGGGGCCCGAGGGAAACTCCCGCAGACGACGCCGCGCATCACTGCCACAGGCGCTGGATCAGACCCGCCCCCAGGGAGAACTGTCACCGCCCACGCCGCACTCTGCAGGGCGCGAGTGGGTGGCTTCGAGCGGGATCCGCCCGATACCATTCTCAGAACCTCATCACTCGACAGCTCGGCCAACTGCTCGGGATCTTTATCCAGCGGTCTGTATGAAACATCAATAATATCCACCTCAGCTGAAATGATTGACGGTTCTGGCAGCTCGCTGTCGGGGTGCACAAAAATGCCACTGGTAGACATCCCACTGTCTGGCTCTGCAAGACCGATTCTGAAAAGGAACTTGGAACATCAGCCTCAGCACGCGCCTGCTCGACCACAGGTCTGGAGCAGGCGTTGAATCCGCGGTGGAGTGCGTCTACCTTCCCGCACTCGCACCGCCCGTCCGCCCCGTACCCCGAAAGGCGCTCTCTCTCTCTCTCTCTCTCTCTCTCTGCAGTCCACACTCCATGACACCCACAGCTCCTCATCAAAAACTTAGCCTTGGTGCTCAGCCCTCGAGAGGGTGACCTAGCTTTGCTGCAAGTGCTAGCTCATGCGCACGCTAAACGCCTATTTCGAGCTGCTCCGCAAGAAGAGCCGGCGGAGCACATCGACCTGGATGGTGTTTCCACTGAGGTCTCTCCACTCCAGAAGCCCCAACGCCCCCCTTACCAGCCCTCGAGATTGCCGGCGCCGGGCGCCCCAGAGGTCCTCGGGAGCAGCTCCAGGGCCCCTGCTCCAGAGGTCTGGCGACCCCCATAGCCTCAGATGCCCAGCACGGCTGACTAGCGCTCTCTCAGGCACGGCTGGGGAAAAACCAAAAAAAAACATTCGGCGCCACTGCAAAGCAGGTGCGACAGATCAACGAAAACTGGAATCTCCCTCTAAAGCGAGTTTCGCCGACAACGAAACGCCGCCATGTGTTGGGGGAACGGCACTACTGCGTAGCCTCTGGTGGGCCACCCACCCAGTCTGGCGGCTCAAGCTCAACTCCAAGGCTACTCGCTGGAGAAACTCCAGCACAACAAAAATTAATCAAAGTGGGCCTCCTTGCTACAGCCTCTGAAACCCCTCTTGAACCCTTCAAACTTGCGGAGCCTACGCTTAAAGCTAAAAACCGACGCCTCTGCTTTGGTCTGGCCCCATCGCGCAGCTCTCTGGACGCCAACACTCTCATCCACTCCGGGATTTGCGACGCTAGTCTTGAATATGCTGCGCGGAACTCGCAGCGCATCACACATTGAATTTCCCAGTTCAGCAAAGGATGCAATCAGCGACACCTTCTCGAAGTTGAGCAGCGCACTGATCTGGTCCGACGTTGCCTTGAACTCCCCCATGGACTCAACGGCCATGCCACTCGCAAGCAACATATACCTGGAATTGCTTCCAATCGCACCGTTACCGAAACACTGTTGGGTAAAGCGTGACACACGTGTCCAGCTCGAATGCCGCATGTACCTTGATTGCGGCGTCCGCGTCGCCGTCGCCAGCGGGCAGCCCGTTGGCCGCATGCAAACTGCATGATGACGGCCGCTGCGAACGACTCGCGATCCGCACCGCGTATTCATCACGACCTTCAGCTAGCACGCGGGAATCCCAACGCTCAAGAATTTGTACTTAAGCTCGCGCAGCAGCATGTTCGCAGTACTTAGGCCAGTCAATCACCCACGACCATGAATGTAGCCCTCTAGCGCAATCAGCTTCACTTCTGGCAGATTGAACCCACGCGCAATCTACCGCCGATCTGCCTATACCAGCTCCCCAGAATTTGCGACCCAGAGACTCCGTAATTCCACTCGCCATCCATCGTCTAGCCCGCTGCCAGATCCTGCACATGTTTGCGTATAAAACGATCCTCATGTAGCTTTCAGCTGATATGGGTAACATTGGCAACTGAATCCAACGCGACTGCTTCGGCAACTGTCACATCGCTGCTGACGCGTCCCACATCGCCGAGAGGACCTCCAACCCATCGTCCTCGAGCAAGAAGGCACGTCGCGGATGATAACGATCCAACGACGATGCCGTACCTTTGGAAAACGTCTGGACGACCTGTCTGATCTCGTCGGTCCACATCCTTGGGCGTGAAATTATGTCAGGCACCCTTGCATTCGGTGCTCTGTCCGACGCTTTCCAGACTCTGCGAGAATTCTCGACCTCCTCCTGCGCCACCGCCACAGAGTCACATGCCATAGTCTTGCCGTCGTTGACGACAACAGGCAATGGGATCGCTGTCACTTTCGCAACTCTGCGCAGAGCTCTGCCACCCCGAGCAGATGCCTCCACGCACAAGTCTGCCCACTGCTAATCAGCATCCTTGCCAATTGCCTTCTGCGCCTGCTCTACGCCATCAGCGATGTCCTCTTACAACTGGTCGGGCGCCTGCAACCCATAGAAATAGCACCCAGTTCCTGTCCAGCCTGTAGAACTGCACTGCCAAGTCGCCCGCTGGGCCCTTTGCCACAGAATTGCGTCGGCTGACAACTGCTCACCTCTTCAGATCACACCCCCACGCGCGCCGCGCCCTGGCAAAGCTGCAAAATCGCAGCCATCGGGCGCGGTAGCCATGGCCACCCCTCTGCCACCGCCTGAGTCTTCGCGCCCGCCTGCCCCCGGCAATTCACGTCGACCCATCTTGGACACAGGCTTCTCCCGAAATCAGCAGGCCAATTCAACTCCGCGCCCGCGGCACCCGCAATCACCCGCGCCGCTTCCACAACAAACTTGGCCCACACTCTGATTAAGAAAAAAACCCACGCCATCTCGACATCATCACATTCATCGCGAGCCAAATCCGCTCACGCTTTGGCGAGAGCCTTCGCGGTTGTCCAATATGTTGGCTCTCGCCTTGGCCCAAGTACCGGGTCAACTAATAGTGTTGGAGTGACCGCGCACGCGAGATGCAGCACCTCGAGGCCATTGTCAACAAATGGTAGCGCGACTGGCCCGCGCGGCCTCCGTCCCCAAGTCGCATCAGCCTCCTCTCCACAAGATCCCCCCACAGGTACATCATTGACAGCAGGGTTGTCGATGGTCGCGGATCCCGCGCCCCCTCTGCATGCGATCTGTCTCGGCACCGCCATCGCAACATTCGCAAGCTGGGGACATGTGGACGCCTCGAGCTCTGCAACTTGCACGTTCCAGTCAGCGCCCGCCAGGCACGGTCCAGTGACTTTGCTGAATGCGCTTCCAATCTGACACAGCATCACGACATTGATCCCCGCGGCGCCGACCGAGTCCTTGAGGCGCGCATTCACGATAGAGGCCGCTGGCCACCCTGGCAGATCCAGGACTGCACGCTGCAACCTGCGCTCGGCCACCTGACGAGGGAGATCTGGACGAGGCCGCAAACCTAGACCGCTTGGGGCCAGCAGAGCAACACCTGCCGACGTAATCCCTTCGGTTGGAATGCTTGGCAATGTCATCATTTTCCATCCTCGACCCGCCGCCCACGTGCGCATGGCCTCCATCGCGCCACTGAAAAAGGAACAAATGAGCGATCTCCTGCAGCAGCAGAACATGCGCCGCCGATCATGTGATCATGTCCTTCAACGTTGTCCTGCCACCGCTGGCGTTGAAGGACTCGAACGTGCACATTCCCCGTGATGCTGGTTGCTGCACTATCCGGATGTTGCCCA